TTGCTTACCTTCTTAGTGACCTGAAGATAGCAGGCACGGGCAATTTTTTGGTTCCCCCGGGAGTAGCCAATGCCCCCATCGGCGGGAAACTTGAGGCAGAGGTGCCTCATGGAGATGATGGCCTCGAGGTCCTCGAGGGCTGGCCGGCCGAGGATGATGTTGTGGGCGCAGTCAATGTTGACGACGACGAACTCCACCTCGAGCTGGGCTCTATGTAGCCCGTCGCCGAAGATCATCGGGAGGGTTATTACCCCCTCGGAATCAATAGTGTCGCCGGTGAAGCCGGCAAGAGGGGTCTTAATGGGCCGAAGGGACCCCCTCTCCAGATGCAGCTCTCTGAAGGTGCTGAGGTACATTACATTGACGGAGCTGCCCGTGTCAACGTAAGTTCGGTGAATGATGGTGTCGTTGATCTCCGTTCGAATCACCAAGGCATCCCGGTGAGGAGAAGAAGTAGGAGGGAGATATGCGTTGGTGAAGGTGATGGGTTCCTCCCTCAATCGCTTTACCGGGGACATATGAGTGACTTCCCCTACGTAAAGCGATTGAGCCCACTTCTTTCGCTGGCTGGTGGAATCGCCCCCTGTGTTGCCACCGGTGATCATGAGGATGTGGCGTTTTTTCTCCTGGTAGTGGGGGTATTCCTCCTCCTCTTCTTCCAAGTTTCCAATCTCACTTTTCTTGCCGAGGGGGATGGTATTCGGGTTTACCCAAGCGTTTACCTTCGTGTGATGCCCTCGGGGAGGCCCCTGATGAGAAGGTCCCTCCTGCCGAGGGCTCTGGACAAATTGGGACAGGTGCCCCGCTTGTATTAATCTCTCGATGGCCGTCTTCAGTTGATGGCAGTCATCGGTCCTGTGCCCCTGGTGCCGATGGAAACGACAGTAGGGGAACTGAGGGTTGATAGCGTGTACCTCCGGGGGTGCGCGAGAATCGCGTTCCACGAGGCCCCTCTCCTCTGCAAAATCGAGGATGATGCTGACAGGGTGCGTCAATGGGTTCCGAGGGCGGTCCAGGAGAATGGGCTGGGCCCAAGTCTTAGGGTTGCTCATATAACCTCCCCCGGGCTTGGCTTGGCCTTGCCGAGGGCGGTCATCAGAGGGTCCCGAAGCCTTGGGGCGATTTGGAGGAGCCCCCGGCCCTCGGTTGTGCTTGTTGTCAGCCCTCGGGGGCTGCTGGTCCGGATGCTGGTGATACTTCTCCACCTCCTCAGCCTCAGCATATCTGTCCCCCCGCTGCAAGGCCCTTATGTAGTCGCGGGGGGGGGGGGGGTTCAATGATGAGGCTCCTTGAAAAGTTGCCGGTGCGGAGGACGGTTTGTAGGAGGGCCAGGAGGGTCCCGTCATCAGCACCGTCGACCTTGTCGGCCTCCGTCCTCCAGCGCTCCAGGAAATCCCGAAGGGTCTCATCCTTCTTCTGGCGTATCGTTAGGAGGTGGGAGAAGTGCTTCCTTGTGCGATGCCTCCCGGCAAATTGTGTTAAGAACCGCTGGGCGAGTTCTTGCCATGAATCAATACAGCCCTCGGGCAGCCTGTTGAACCATTCGTATGCTGGTCCCTCTAAGGTGGAGAGGAACCAACGACACAAATATTCGTCTGACGCCCCCACCATCATCATGCTGTTCTGGTACTTGCTGTAATGCTCCTGGGGGTCCGTTTTTCCGCTGTAGGGCTGTATGTGTTGCCCTCGGTATTTCTCCAGGATCCGGGCCGCCAATACCCTTGGGGTAAATGGCGTCCGAGTCCGGAGCTGGATGACGGGTTCCCCGGAGCCCTCGGCCACCTTCTTCTGTAGTTCCTCCATTTTGGCCATCATGGCCTCGTATTTGAGGTCTGAGTGAGGGGTGGAGGTGGTGGCGTGAGCTTTGTTGGACTCCATCTCGTCAAGCCGGCGTTGGAGGGCCGCAATGATCTCGTCCCGGGGGTCCCTCGGGAGGGTTTCCGCCCCCTGCGAACGAACCCGGGCCGAGTGGGCCTGGTTGATTTGGTGCCGAGCATCATCGGCATGAAGGGGTGCCTTGCCTTTGTCCCGAGGGGGACGCTCCTCGTCTGCCCTCGAAACAGATCCCCCGCTTTCCTGGGGCTTTTGGAGTGCTTTCCCCCCGAGGCGGTCTTGGACCCCTCGGCGGTCTGGCCCTCCTCCGAGCCGGTTGAGGGCGGAAGTGCGGGGCCTCTCCCTGTTGTCATTATGGCGGTCCCGGGACTGAACTTCCTGGGAGGATGTTTCTTGGGCCACCACCCCCTCGTCGTTTCTCACCCGAGGGGTGGGATTTCCGAAGGGGTGTGGCAGAGGGGGAAGTACGATATTTTCCCCGATCTGAGGGTGAGCTGGAGCCAGGGTGCCGAAGGCACCCGGGTTCTGGGTGAGCGTCTGGATGAAGGCGGAGAGCGCCGATTGTACGTCGATGGTGAGAACTGGAGGGCTGACTTGGTCATCGCTCCGGTTTTTCTTCTTGGCCTCGATGCCGAGGCGGGCATCAGGGGCGTTTTGTTGGATCTGAAGGCGTAGGTCGACAGCCGCCAGTTCCAGCCCAGCGAGGACGCCGCCCTCGGGAGCCCTGTGAGAGGCTTCGGGGGCGTTGACGTCGCCGAGGGGCAGGTTCTTGTCTTCTACGTTCTTTGAGTTGGCACGCGTTGTCCTCACCATTTTGATAGAGGGCTAGTGTTTTGTGTTTGGTCGAGGGGGAGGGTTTCTTACTCGATTGTTCAACCTCTCAACGAGAGCACCAAATGATGGATAGTCTACCCGGGGGTATATATCCGAAGGGTTATCGCGGGGAGTAACCTAGAGAGAAGTTAGAGCAAGTGAATATAGAGAGAGAGGGTGTATTATCAATGTGGAGCGTTTTCAGCGTGGTTACAAATGGGGAAATGGGGTGCTATTTATAGTAGCAATAAATGCCAGGTAGGGACACGTGTCAAGCGCTCATTGGCCGAGGGGTCACCTCAACTGGTTGGCGCTGGCAGCCGCATGTGGCCGCATTTAATGCGGCTGTTGGATGGGACGTCTGTGCGGGGTACGGTGATCTGTACGCATGTGAGGCAGATATCTTGTCGAGTGAGGTGCCTTCGGCCGTAGAGCAGTAACCGAGGGCTCTCCCACCCGATGGCACCCTGGTGCCGAGGGCTCACAATGCCGAGGGCTACTGTTTTCGCCGTTTTCTCCCAGTTTCCTAATTTGCTTGAGAAACCCGCTCTGTGATAATTTGGAGCCTTCGGCCAGGGGACCGAAGGCACCCCTGTGCGTTGTGCGGGCTGCTCGGTACTCTGGGCGCTGTGATTTGGGCCTGTTGGGCCTTTTGGGCCTGTTGGGCCTTCGCTGGAGTAGTAGGAGTCTGTGGGCCGGGGGTTCCCGGGCCATATACTCCATCAATATCCTATACCTAAAAGCACTACACTGGAGAAAAAAAATTGTTCCGTCTAAGCAATCTCCGCCTAAAATCCTAAAATGTAATTTCTTTATCCGCAAAAAAAAATCATCATATATCTTCTTATCCTATACCTAAAAGCACTACACTGGAGAGAGAATATTCTTCCGCCTAACCGTTCTCCCTCTAATCCTAAAATGTAATTTCACTTTTCGCAAAAAAAAAAACATCATCATATCCTATACCTAAAATCACTACACTGGACCCGCACGGGTAACTCAGTTGATCGAGTGGTGGGAGATTTGGAACAATGGACCAAGGTTCGAATCCCCGCAACGACCGGGTGGAGGTCACATAACCTGAAATAAGGCTGGGCCTCTGGTGCGCACGGGTGTATGGGCCTACTGCCATTCTGCTGACTGAGTCACCGTGACTAACCTCCCCACCATCCTGTCGGGTCGGGGTGGGGAGGCTCCTGGGGTGGGAGATTCCACCTTTTAGGAACAACAAAAACACTACACTGGATAGAGAAAATTCTTCTGCCTAAGCATTCTCTGCCTAAAATTCGAAAATGTAATCTCACTTTCCGCAAAGAAAAAAAATCATCATTCTATACCTAAAAGCACTACACTGGAGAGAGAAAATTCTCCCGTCCAAGCATTCTCTGCTTATCCTATAACTAAAAGACTACAATGGAGAGAAAATTCTCCCGTCGAAGCATTCTCTGCCTAAAATCCTAAAATGTAATTTCACTTTCCGCAAAAAAATAATCCTATACCTAAAAGCACTACACTGGAGAGACAAAATTATCCCGCCTAAGCATTGTCCGCTTAAAATCCTAAAAAGTAATTTCACTTTCCTCAAAAAAACATATACCTAAAAGCAATACACTGGAGAGAGAAAATTCTCCCGTCTAAGCCTAAAATCCTAAAATGTAATTTCACTTTCACTTATGAGGAATATAGATCATTCATCCGAATTGTACAATTGTACACCATTTGTGGTGATTATACTTGGAGCTCATACCATCAAGGATCAAATGATTCATGGAGAAAATGTCGGTAAAAAGTTTATTATTCTTAGATTCACTTTAGCACCATTAGACATTAGACTATGTAGATTTTCAGCACACACAATTTCTATTAATTGTTAGGTTTGCAATAGTCATTAATAAAAGTCACAGACAATCATTGAAAAATGTTGTCATCTTACTCTGACGCCCCTTCATCACTCACAAACATTTGTATGTGGCGGTGTGGAGAGTAACAAGTTCATGGGATTGGAGTTTAATTTGTAATGATGGAGATGGACAACCAACCAAATCAACATTGACTGTTGTTTACAAAGAAATATGTACTATAAAGTAATTTATAATTTTCGTTATAATGTGGTGGACTTACATGCACATCCATTTCATCGTGTGATGTTTTACATTTAGTTCTTACCATTTATTCAGAATTTATTTAATGTTTTCAAATTATTCTAACACAATCATGTTTTTTTAAATATTTTTAAATATATAATTATATCTAAATTATTATGTGAGTGTCTCACTCCTGTGCAGCGCACGGGTGAAGTAACTAGTTTATCTTAATATAAAGATGGATGGAATGTGAGATTATTCAATTTGGATAAACACACCTAAAATAGAAAGAAAAAAATGATTTGAAATTGAGAAAAAGCAATGATCTAGATCTTTCTTGCACTGCAATATACCACATGTCACATTATATACCGCTACCACTCCATTTCAGCGTTCCACAGAAACCAGAAACACCCACTCGCCGCCTCTACGCATAACTCTCCGTAAAACCCTAAACCCTAACAAACAGAAATCTCCAGAAAGAGAGCAGTAGCAAACGCCGCTTCTCTGATTCGATGGCGACCGCCGTATTGCTCCGATCTCTCCGTCGCCGTGACATTGCTTCCTCATCCCTATCCACCTACAAGGCTGTAAGTTTTCTCGTCGCTGTATTCGACCATTTCAACAGACTGCAATTTTTGCTTCTACGATTTCATCTTGAAAACACGTTAAGGGCATCGTAATAGTTCCATTTCCATCTTCTTGGCTTAGCTTAGAATTATGTTGTTGGCCAAATATTTATTGATTCGTGAAAGCAGAGTTTTTTTTGAAAATACAGATTCATTGATATTTGCTAGATTAGGTGTTGATCACTTAACTTCCAACATTTTCGCGCTAACTGTTGATTGCATCCGAAGTTTCTCAATATCATTTCACTCTGTTGGATTAACCTTTCCATTCTGAACGTGTTCAACAACATGTGATATGCAGTTTACTGCCAACACAAATCCGTCATGGTCATCATCAGTTGGTAGTGCTAGATGGGCATCACTTACCAGACAGTTTAGGTAATTTTGTTATTTAAGGGTGCTTTGTAGTGGAAGGGTTGTTATTGTGATACCTGATGATTGATCTATTTCCTTTCCATACAGCTCAAAATCAGCTGGGAACGATATTATAGGTATTGACTTGGGTACGACAAATTCCTGTGTTGCTGTTATGGAAGGAAAGGTACAATTATATCAAATGTCAATCTACTCAGTTTGCTCACTTATATACCACATATGAAATATCTGTTTCAATTGGTTTTATGACTTTATCTCTTCTTGGTGTCTCTAATACTTCAAGATTGTGTTGTAGACGCCCAAGGTGATAGAAAATTCTGAAGGATCCAGAACTACTCCTTCTGTGGTTGCTTTTAACCAGAAAGCAGAGTTGCTTGTTGGTACACCAGCCAAGCGTCAGGCAGTTACAAACCCAACAAACACTGTATTTGGGACCAAGCGTCTGATTGGTAGACGCTATGATGATCCCCAAACACAGAAGGAAATGAAGATGGTTCCTTACAAAATTGTGAGGGCTCCTAATGGAGATGCTTGGGTTGAAGCAAATGGACAACAGTACTCTCCAAGTCAAATTGGAGCTTTTGTTCTTACAAAGATGAAGGAAACTGCAGAGTCATATCTGGGAAAAACTGTTACAAAGGCTGTAGTTACTGTCCCAGCTTATTTTAATGATGCTCAGAGACAGGCAACGAAAGATGCTGGGCGGATTGCCGGTCTTGATGTAGAAAGGATAATTAATGAGCCGACTGCGGCTGCACTATCTTATGGTATGAACAACAAAGAAGGGCTTGTTGCAGTTTTTGATCTTGGTGGTGGAACATTTGATGTTTCCATTTTGGAGATCTCCAATGGTGTTTTTGAGGTGCGTGAGTATTTTTGACGCATTTGGTCATTCAAACACCTTGTTATTCTGCATCACTTTAGCTTTATTTTAAAAACAATATTGTGGTATCACTGAACTTTATCTAACATATCTGAGACAGTTAAAAAAATTAAATATGTTAAGAAATACCTTTACTTGTTGTAATAGGACCTTTTATTCGGCAAACAAGCTTTAGAAGGGAAGTATTTTATCAGGATGAACTTCAAGATTAAAGTTGTCTCCTAAACAATAATATAATAATCTACTTACATGCAGGTCAAAGCAACTAACGGTGACACCTTTTTGGGAGGAGAGGATTTTGACAATGCCTTGTTGGATTTCTTGGTGAATGACTTCAAGAGGACTGAGAATATTGATTTATCAAAAGACAGACTTGCCTTACAAAGGCTTCGAGAAGCAGCTGAGAAAGCTAAAATTGAGCTTTCATCAACGTCTCAGACGGAACTCAATTTGCCATTCATCACTGCTGATGCTTCTGGAGCAAAGCATCTGAATATCACTTTGACCAGGTCAAAGTTTGAGGCTTTGGTTAATCATTTAATTGAGAGGACCAAGAATCCTTGCAAGAATTGTTTGAAGGATGCAGGTATTTCCACTAAAGAAGTGGATGAGGTCCTTCTTGTTGGTGGCATGACCCGTGTCCCAAAGGTGCAAGAAGTGGTTTCTGAGATATTTGGAAAGACCCCAAGCAAGGGAGTGAATCCTGATGAGGCAGTTGCTATGGGAGCAGCAATCCAAGGTGGCATTCTTCGTGGAGATGTGAAGGAGTTGCTTCTTTTGGATGTTACCCCGTTGTCTCTTGGTATTGAAACATTGGGAGGAATCTTCACAAGGTTGATTAACAGAAACACTACCATTCCTACAAAAAAGAGTCAGGTATCATTATCAACACTAAAATCCTAGATGTTTCAAGAAATTATAGTTTTCAAAAATAACCAAATGTTTGTTGGGATGGATGATCTTAGAGGGCTTTATCTTGATAAATATAATTGTTTATAAAAGTGAATAAAGAGTTGTTGAATGTTATATGATCAAATATAGTCAATCGTTCAGATTTTGAAAAATCTTAAATACTATATCAAGACTAAAATTGCAAAGTGCTTGCCTCCAGACCCCCTCCAAAATCCCCATCCTAACAGCAGACCCTTATATGATGTTTTGGATGTCCATAGTACGGGAAGAGAAACAATGGTTAAATATATTTTAATTCTCCTTCCCTAGATTTTTTCCCTTTTTTGGATTGATGAATAATAAGTGGAGAGCTGAAAGATGATCAGAGATCCAAATTTATGACCTCCAAACATGAGAGATTACAATGTTGGGGAAGGGAGGATGAACATTATTTTTCCTTTAAAATCTAATAAATAGGGTAGTCATTATAATATTTCCATTCGTGTTTCCATTTGTCGATGTGCATTTTTTTGTATTCAAAGAAAAATGCAAGTGATAGTTGATCAAATATTCATTGGTTCTCTCCAACTTCTTTAGGTCTTCTCCACAGCAGCTGACAACCAAACACAGGTTGGCATCAAAGTCCTCCAAGGAGAACGTGAAATGGCAACTGATAACAAACTCCTTGGAGAATTTGATCTTGTGGGTATCCCCCCTGCCCCAAGAGGAATGCCACAAATTGAAGTCACCTTTGACATTGATGCAAATGGCATTGTCACGGTCTCAGCCAAGGACAAGGCAACCTCAAAAGAACAACAGATAACCATCCGGTCATCTGGTGGGCTATCCGAGAGCGAGATTGAGAAGATGGTGCATGAGGCAGAAATGCATGCACAACGAGACCAAGAGAGGAAGGCTCTTATTGACGTCAAGAACAATGCGGACACTACGATTTATAGTATTGAGAAGAGTGTCAACGAGTACAAAGACAAGGTGCCCAAGGAGGTTATTTCAGAAATTGAAATGGCTGTCAAGGATTTAAGAACAGCCATGGCGGGAGACAATGTGGATGACATTAAAGCGAAACTTGATATAGCAAATAAGGCAGTTTCAAAGATTGGAGAGCACATGACTGGTGGTGGGGCTGGTGGGGCTGCCTCTGGGAGTGATGGTGCCCAAGGTGGAGAGCAAGCCCCGGAGGCCGATTATGAGGAAGTCAAGAAGTAGAGTGCTTAAATAATCTCATACTTGTAGTAGTTTCAAAGTTTTGAGACATGAATATTTGGTGTTTCCTTTTTTAGAGAATGGGTTCCATTCCGTGCTTGTTGCAGTCAAGTCGTGATATTTTGTATCTAGAACTCATTAGAAACCAGATGGGTTTTGATTCTTGAATGTTCCGAGGTTTGCTTATGCGCATCTCCTACATTATGTTATTGGTAGAAACTGAATTTCTGAGAATACGAAGTTGGCGTTGGAATAATTTAAATTATGTGATTTTTCTTCACTTGCAGCTAATGCAAGTACTTACCTGGAACACATACGATAGTACGATAGCATCTTATAGCAAAACTAAACTCATGTTTTTTTTTTGGGTTTTGCCAATTGAGAAGAATAGCTTTTTAAACAGATTTTCACTTCATTCCCTCTTGAATCTTAATGCATCATTTGGGTCTGCTTGTGCCGAGAATCCGAGTTCATACATTATACCATATTTGTATCTATAGACTTGGCGGCTAGGTTACATCCTATTAATACTACATGTGAGTTGGTTGATCCTATTAATACTACATGTGAGTTGGTTGGTGTGATGATATCTACTAATTGCAAGATTTGTTTAATTTTTTTAGCATATGTTTGGCACTGTACCGTTCCGAAACGACATGGTACTGAATGGTTCTATCCTTGGAACCGGACCATACCGGACCGTTAAAAACCTCACGGATACATTATGAGTTTTACCAATTTATCGGACCATTCCGGACCGTGCCCACTTGACCGTATAAGCAAAAAAGTGTACTTGTTTTGTGATCTCTAAACACAATCATCCACTGAGTTAATCTATCACCTTGTGCAGAAAAATAGAGCAAGTGATTTGCGTAGAACGGTAGAAGTAGACCCTAAATTAAAAACCAATTCTAACGTGAAACAAACACGTGATTTTAAAAATGGACGAGAAACTCGATCCATTTGAGCAGTCATAACTTTAGTTCTTCTATTGATGCTAAAAGAATATAAGTGACTATTTATTTTTATATTTAGAAAATTCACTTAAATTTCTATTGAGCTGTAAAATCAAATTTGAATACGCCAAAATTGGTTTTATAAAACCAGAAAGTGAAAGAAAACAGATTTTATTGTAACAAAGTAGCAACTTAGAGCCGTAATATGAAATAAAGGAGGTATATTAATTTTTCTATTTGGTTCCCAATCCATTTTGAATTAATTAAAACTAATCGGATGCGGAATATTAATTTTCGACCTACTTGAATTAGTTAACATGTATTACGTATCAATAAATTACATGTACAAAAATTACTAATTCGAAAATTAAGTTTGACAAAGTTAACTTATATGCATCAGTTTAAATTTGTAAATGATTAAGAAATACCAACTCGTGATCTTTTTTTGTTTGCAACCACTCGACCGTTCAGATTTCTAGACCAAAACTTTGAGTATTTGTATATTGATTTATGTACAAGTAAAACGTACATAAATGATAGGTACAAGTAAAACATAAAATGAGAAAACTATAGTATAATAATATCTGGACAATAAAAAAGAATCCAGAAATTACAAAGCAAAGACTCCAAGACTCCAAGCACATGTCATGAGTTCATGTGTGAAATCGACTGACTCTTGCTTTTGACAATTTTAATCCAAACCTAACCCATTGAAATACATATGTACCCTTTGCGCTACTTCTAAACCATGAAATTTTATAAACGAAAATTGATATAAAAAGAGTCGTTATAAACAACCCTTCTTCGAGAGGCGGATATGATTAGAACGAGCGTTGCAACAAAGGGAACAAAAACGGGTACATCAAAGAAATACATTTATAGAAAAGTAACGTTTAAAAAACAAGGCTTTTAAAGTAGGGTATTACATCTTTTTAAGTATACAAAATCATTATCTTTGTTTCATATTTCAACTGCCCTGCAAAGTTCTTCGAGTAAGGGATGCCAACATAAGCATTGCATTTACATTTTCAACTTTCCGCGTTAATTGTCAATCTGGAAATTCCCATCTTCCTGAGAAAAAGTTCAAATAGCTCTTCAGTTCATCGCTCTAACAGTAGATGCAAATTGAAAGAATTATTAATCGCCTTTACCCAATGGTAATAACTGTAAAAAATCGGGATTTGTTTTGCAGAAATATGAATTTAGATATCCGAATGGGAAGGTAAACATAAGATTTCAAAGTGCATAACCAAACACTTCAACACTTAAATCAAGTATAATGTCACCTTATATACAAATACGTTGATAGTAAATCTCCTCCATATTTTCTTTCTACCAGTAAAGAAATACTTTTTTTTTTACATTTTCATTAGTAGTATTAGCTTTTACCAATATCATTGTCAATTATATCCATCTAACATACTGAGAGACAGAAATATTGAACGCATATAGGTTAGTAAGGAAGATATTTTTAGCATTTCCTAAAACCTACCATGCTTGATAACACCACACAGAGAGAAGGAATAAAGCGGGAGAAGCAAACAAGATGCTCAAGCGGTGAAGCCCAATGCAACCTCAGACTAATCAGAGCTGAGAGAGTCACGACTGTGCATCACCATGATCTGAGTCACTACCAGAAGAACTTCCAGAATCAGAACCTGTAAATATATTGGATATAATATAACGTCACACTGAAGAAAAAGTTGTTCCTAATGTCAAAGCAGCATCAATTGAACATCAAACTGCCCTCACAAAGAAAAATACCACTAGAAGAAGATGATTCACTGCTAGAGCTACTGCTGTGGTTATCAGGCTCTCGGGAAGCAACGACGTCTTCCTTCTCGATTTCAACAGGGGTAAAGCTGACATCAGGCATATCATCACCTATATCGATGTCTTCTTCCCCAAATTCAACAAGTTTGGGATTATTTTCCACTGTATCATTCTTATCAACTACAGCAGCCTGTAAAAAAAAGATGTTAGCCACTAAGGAGGCATTTACGAGGGAGACTAATTACATTCCATGGAAAGTATAAATAGTGCAAGTTAATAGCTATTGTTCCTCTCTTGGAGAAGGAAAGTGATTCTCATAGGAAGGTGGGAATCAAATTTCACCTCAGGGTGGACCCAATGGAAAGCATCAAACGCCCCCTGGTGGGCGAAAAGTGATTCCGTGTAAAGTAAATTAATGAAAAGCGCCAAACGCCCCTCAGGGGTTTGAAGGGCTTTGTCTCTATCTGGCCAGAGTATGAATGCCAGACTTTATTATAATAAAAAAAAAAGAATGAGCAAAATAGCTTGTGGTTGCAATCATCTTATAATATTTCAATCCCCACCCTAAATCAATTTCAGACACATCTATTAAGATATCCGAAATTCCTAATTACAAAAGAAACATAGACTACGCCTTCCAAAACCTACCACCCATAATTCAGGAAAAACATACGATGTACACATTCTACTTTATTTCTTCTTTCTGAAATAAAACCATAGAAAATAGGTTACCTCAACAGCATTGGAAGTAGGAACAGAATTATCAAAAGCTTGTCTTTTTGTCTTGCTCTCCACCTTTCTACAGTTGTTTACAAAGCGATCAAGCTCCCAGAGTGTCTCTGTGTCTAAAGCCTCAATGTCCAGCTCAATTTCATCACCATCTTCAGCCATGTTCCCATTCCTCATTCTTATAATTTGTACCAACTGTGGCATCTTATCTTCAGGTAAGTTCTGCAACCCAAATCCAAGTTTATGTTTTTCCTCCATAGTCATCTCCCTTTTGATTGTACTTTTAGTCCTTTGCTTTAGCTGTTTCACAATTGCCACTTTTTCTTGAATTGGCTGATCCACAGGTGAGGGCGGGTGGATTTGAGGTGGTGGAACAGAATGTGTTGAAGCACTCGATTGACTTGGCAATATCTCTTGCTTCTTTGAGACTCGTGGGATTGGAACAGCCTTTGGCATCTTAGAAATTTCAGAGACGGGAATGTGATTCCTATAACTGTTATGAAGCTCGTCATTGCCTAAGTTTACCTTTCTTTCAGGCGCAAATTTAGAAATCTTATCTTGTATAGGTCTAAATAACTCTTCAAATTTGGAGAGGAGAAGGTCAGCCCATCCATGAACTTGATCCGTTTTAGGGTTGTACAGCAACGCATTGTTTAAAGTCAGCCTCACGTCAGCAGCAAACTCAACTGGAGTCGGATAGCTATTCTTTGACAAATTCGATTTCACAGTGCCAAAATCCATTGGCTTCTTAACAATCTGATGATAATCGTGAAGACCCATGGCTGCAGCATCTACAGGAGTATTGAAAATCCAGCCAATTTTATGCTTCATTAGCTTCTTCAACAATAGCCCACATTCCTTCATCATATTCCCCATCTCTATAACACCAATGCCACCACGAACTAGACCAGCATTCATACTATTTAAACCATTTGATATCTTCTCGTTCCCAGACAATTTCTTAGACTTCCCTGGATGTCTTGGTTTAGCAGTGCTGGTGCTGAATTGACCCGACTCAATTCGCTCTCTAAGGTTTCGGACCTGCTCAAGCTCCGCAATCAGGCGCTTCCTAAGCTCAACTAGCTCGGACTTGGTGTACGATTGGATGTTGTACGTTTGAGAGTTTCCCAGATTGACGCCATTCGAATCCTTCAGCGGTTGATTGAATAAATACGCGTCATCATTGTGGGAGCCGTTAACTACCGGATGCGATTGCTTCTGTTTCTTCTTTGGATTCGAATTAGAGTTAGATTTCAAATGAGGGCGAGTGTGTGGGACTCTCCCCATTAGTTCACCGGATTGAGTCCAATTTAGTTCATTGCGACCACCTAAAGCCGCAGACACCATGAATTGCACCAGCAAAGCTAAATTGGTAGGTTTCACTGAGTTGAAAACATGAACTGATATGCCGCAGACGTAACGCGCTCGTCGGAAAATTACAAACTTCCGCCCAACAAACGGCCGGCGACGTATATATATACGTATCTGCGGTGTAGAATTAGCGTACGGAGATTGAAAAATAGGTATTCGATTGGGAGATTCTACAGGAAGTCGGGGCTAGGGTTTAAACTTCGAACGTATTGTGCGAATTCAGGAGGAGAAAGACCGTCCTTTAATAGGCGAGGAGGTCTGACCCGGAAAACTAAGGGCAGGATGAAAACCGTCGATTTAATGCATGTTATGATCTAACGGTTCTTGGTGCTGACCGAAACATCTGTCACGAACGTCCGAGATTCTACTTTCTGACACGTGGTGCAACTTGGGGAGGCGATGAAACGTGATTCCTCTCTCTCTTTTATTTAATTAAAGTTGGGCCGCATAATTAGGGTTTTTGTTAACTGGGAGAGTATGAACGAGTCGGTGGGTTATAAAGGACTAAAATCGTCTTCATTGTTCTTCAAATAAAAAAACACTAAATTTCAAATAATTTTTTAAATAATTACGACTAAAATATACTCCCTCCGTCCCTAAAAGTATTTCCAAGTTTGATCGGCACGTAGAATAATAAAGTAAAAACTGTGTTGTAGAAATTTGTGCAGAGAATAAGGAAATAAAAGAAGTCACAAATTGATTGATTAAAAGGGAAAGTGACAAAATTTTTGGGACAACCAAAAAAGGAAAATTGACAAAGTTATTAGGGAGGGGGGAGTAGATTACTTACAAAGTGAATGTTTTGAAAAATATTACTAAAATAAAATTTATTTTAAAAAAATATGACTATTAATCACTACAATGCACTTTCACGATAACTTATGTTTAAAAAATAAATATAAATTACTATGATTTCATTACTACTCTAGTCTAGTCAATAATCACATTTTGTAAATAGTCCTTGTTTTAATCATAAAGATCTAATTATTTATTAAAAATTTGACTAATGACTATAATAGCAACTACTCTGTAAATCATAGTAAGATACGTTCAATTTTTAAATTCAAGTGTCTATATTTTCTAACCTATTACTACGTATTATCTACTACATATATGTTCTATCTTGAGATCAATATTCTTCAAATCAGAAAATATAAAACTTTAAAGGTTGTGTCTTCTAACCTATTATATATACTTCTCAATATTAAACTTTATGTTAAGGTCAACATTATTGACAATTTTAAATAATTTCAAAAATCAATATGTTTTACTTTGGATGATGATAAGTCCATATTTTGACACACATTTGATGCGTGTTGGAATCGGCTTTTGATGGTTTACCTAGCGTAAAGGTGTTGCAAGTCTCAATTTTAGCTCAAGTTATATTTACCAGGTGTTGGTTCGAGTTTTGTGTCATTTGGAGTCAAAATAAGGAATTTAGAGTTCACCATCGGCGCTTGAGGAGCAATCAGGATGATTTGAGATGCATTCGAGAATGGATTGAGAGCTTTGGGGGTCACCGGGAGGTTCACGATGAAGATTTGAAGACAAAAGAGCTTTAGGATTGGCTACGGGATCAAAAGAAGACGAATAGAGCTTGAAAACGACGATCAGGGTGACCTTCTTTGAATCATTCAAGCATATCTCTTTGTCGAAGCATCCAAATGACATGAATAAAGTCCCATATGAAAGTCAACTTCAAGGGTTACAAATAATATGAAGACACCCGTTCGAAAATCTGAGAGGAGAAAGGTTAAAATAGACGATGAAGTCGGATGATTGATGTTGAGATTTCAGAATGAGACCTTCCACCATTTTGATCATATCTTTTGATTGGATGATTCAAATCCCATTCGGCAAGTTGTAGTGGATAGAGTACTTCATTGTCTACAACTTTCATGAAGTAATCAAAGTCAAATTCGAGATTTTGACGCACGCCGTGCGCAGGGGAACGCACGATCGTGCGCCCGAGGCGAGAAAGCAAAGGAGCCACTGCCATGTACGCACGCCGTGCGTGGCCAGGGACGCACGATCGTGCGTACATCCGAAACGCGGAGAAACTCGGTCTTTGGCCCCTTTTTAGTCTCAGTTCAGCCCAAACTCATCTGTTTTCTATAAATAAGGTCTCCCTTCTCCTGTTTAAGTGTTACGAACATTACGGAGAGGCCTAAGGACGAATTTACTTGCGTTTTTACCATTGTTTACTCCAATACCCTGAGATTATTTGTAAGTTCATCTTTTTAATTAATGACAATTAATTATATTCTTCTCAATTCTGTTGATTCTTCAATTATGAATTGTGAGTAGTTTAATTAGAGATTTGGCATTGATGAAGGGGTTAATCATGATGTATGGCTAGTTTCTCGATGGTTTAATTACATGAATGCCGTTTAATTTGTGTTTAAATAATTTAACTGATATGTCTTGTAACCTAGATGGCCACTATAATTACAATTGCTTGTAGAATAAGTTAAGAGAAATCTAATTTATTCTAGGACACATTCACACACACTTAATCGTTTGCTAAGAGATTAATAGCGATAGGGGCCGTAAGCTCGCTTGTTTTGGCAATTATTTAGGATCTGTCGCATGAGAGATCAGTCTGGTCCCCTAAATTATTGCACTCTACGTCGCGAGAGCGGTAAGAACTTAGTAATGATTAGCTAGGCTCAATTAAATTAATTTCATGTAATTAGGCCTGATCTTCCAGAAATCTGGTTACCCCGGAATCAATCCATGTTCCCTTCGTCATTAATCAGAAAGAACCCATTAATTTAATTTCTTTATTCGCAATTTAATTTTCCATCAATCCAAATCTCACACAAATTATTTATTTATTTTTCTTAGTTAGTTTTTATCGTTGAATTTAATTAATACTTATTTCCTTTTGTCCGTCCCTGTGGAGACGATACTCGTACTTACACCCTAATACCCTACACTGCTACATATTTTAAGTGCGAGAAAACTCACATTAGATGACATTTGAAAAAATACGAATTAGTTACTACCCATAGTATAAAATTTCACATGCAAAATAATTACATTCAAAATTTAGCGTAGAAATACATACACTTTTGATTATACGTGTAATTAATATGAAGTACCAAATTGAAAGCAATATGCGACTAGTATTTCTTCTTCTTTCGGCATGCAAAGGGTGACCAATGGTACGTATCAGACCATCTTGGATCATATGGACCAGAATTGAAGCTCGTTGGTTGAAAAGCTTTTGACGTTCGCTTTTGCTGGACAAACCACTCTTGCCTAATCTGTGTTATCTACGATTCTTGCTTATATTACGCAAACTTCAATGCTCCCCAGTCATATTTGCAGCTGAATCGATAAAAGAATCAGAACTTTTGTTTGGGTACCACCGCGGAAGAGAGGAAAATTCACCTTCTCTCTTGGGATGCCATCTGTCGGTCAAAACAACAGGGTGGTTTAGGCCTCCGCTCAACCAGGCAACAAGTGTTCCTTTTTTTCCCTATAAAGTGCACTCATTTTCAGATCATTAGATGTCCGTGTGTGAAATGTTGCAATACATATTCGAGAAGACGTGAGCTATTTGAAACTCACTTGAAAGTGTATGGGATGATGACAAACTACACATTTTGGTATCACCATGGAGAAAGGTTGTGAGAACCGATCTGATGTTCATGGTTACTCTAATTGTGACTCTGGTGATGATACTTATGAAGAGGCACAAGAAGTTATACAAGATTTGTCCTCATTATGACAAATTTAGTGAAAGGACAGATGTCATTGAAGAGGAACTGAACGATGAAGTTAAGAAATTTATAGGTTATTTAATGACTCTCAACAACTTGTATTTTAAGGTTTCAAGTTCTCGAAGTTGTCAATTCTAGTAACGAGTCCTTTACAATGTTGCTACAACTTCTTAATGATGACCTACTTGTTGAAGAATATTAAAGACCTTGGTCTTTCTTATAAAAAGATAGATGCTTGTGGAAGTGATTGTATGCTATATTAGAAGGATGACTTATCCAGCTGATTCAAGAGCATGGAAGCATTTTGATGAGACACATACATCATTTTCTGCACGCCCTTGCAATGTCAGTCTTGGTCTATCCACAGATGGTTTTCAACCCTTTGCTAATTCAAAGAAGTCTTATAGCATTTGGCTAGTTATTCTTATTCCATATAATTGACCACCTTGGATGTGCATGTATCAATCAAATTTTATTGTCAATGCTCATTCCTGGTCCAGAAGGCCTGAGGGATGCAGGAGGTGAAACATACGGTGATTCTAGAAAAATAAACTTTCAATTGCATGTTGCCTTATTATGGACAGTAAATGACTGTCCTGCATATGCCAATTTATCTGGGTGGAACACTAAAGGAAGATTGGCATGTCCTTGTTTTAATAAGAATACTTCATGGACTAAATTACCCAATGGTTGCACACAATGCTACATGGAGCATCAACATTGGCTTCTAATAGATCTTAAATGGGGAAATGATAAGAAGTCATTTGATGGTATGAAAGAGTTAAGACTGCAACCAAAACCTATTTCAGGAAGTGAGGTACTTGAGCAGGTGAAAGACCTTGATGGGAAGATATTAACTAAGGATGCAAGTAAAAAAAGTGAAAATATCTCATAAGAGGAGACGAGACAATTGGAATAAGAAGAGATTTTTTTTGAACTCCCGCATTGGGAAACATTATTGTTACAACATAATTTGGATGTCATGCACATCGAGAAGAATATATGTGATAATATTTTGAATATGATCATGAATATGAATGGGATGACGAAAGACAATCTTCAAATGCGACTCGATTTGCATGCAATGAACATAAGACCCGAGTTGCACCGAACCAAGGATGGTGATATTTATACATATGCAATGTCATCTTATGTATTATCAGATGCTGAGAAACATAAATTTTGCCTTTCCTTTAAGAAACTTAAAGTTCCAGATGGAGTTTCCTCTAATATCTCCAATAGTATTAATCTTAAAGATCCCAAGATATCAAGCTTGAAGAGTCGTGATTGTCACACCCTAATACATAGTTGACTTCCTCTTGTGACTTGTTGGCTACTATCTAAAGCTATTTATGAACCGCTTTTGAAGCTTTCTATGTTTTTTAATACCCTATGTTCTAAAGTGTTAAACACTGACGACTTAGAAAAAATTGAAGCACAAATTCCATGACACTATGCAAGTTAGAGAACATATTCCCTCCATCTTTT